ATTATTTCTCACTATAAAAAAATTTAACTCTGCAAGTAAGAATAGTAGTGTGTTATCTCGTTCTCCCAAAAAGAGTTAATTTGATTCTTCTGAATTTCTTCCCAATATTCCCCACCCTTTCAATACTTGCCACCATATCTATTTCCTTTGTTAAGAAACCAAATACAATACAAAAGGCTAACGATCTGTTTGTGCGCTTCACATTTTATATCCAAAAAAAGTTTCAAATAGTTATCAGAAAAATTGTTTTGCATCTCAGTTTTGGAAAACATAGACTCCTTTTACATTACTACTAATGGAAGTGGAAGCCATAACAGCCAAGTCCACGGCTAAGTATGCAAATATCAGTTTTCTTTTGAGAATTCGGCCAAAAAAAGCATCAACTTTGCACGAATTGTCAAAAGAAACTGTACACGAGTCTGACCAAAAGAAACATGAATTTTTGTTGACTTTATTAGTTTATTAAGAAACTTACAATTGACTCGCCATTTTAACACACCGTAACGAGCAGTTAAGACGGTGTTAACTCGGACGTTAATTGTTGACGTTAGGATGAAACGGCGTCGATTTAAGCGATTTGAAAATAAAAAGAGGAGGACCCCTGGATTAGAACCCGGGTTGATTAGATCAAATGACAAGGAAGTTTACCACAGGGCTAGTGTTACATTCAATGTATCTACTAACACATTTACTTATATTTGGTACTGAATGAATATAAAAAAATCTATAAAAACTTTTAAAAATTCTTTAAAATTTCAAAAATGAAAAATAAAGAATTTTATTGTAAAATTAAAATTAAAATTTAAACAAAATTTTATATTTCTTTAAAAAAATCAGACGGGAACTTATAAAATTTTATTTTTCTTTCAATATATCTATTAACACATTTACTTATATTTGGTACTGATTGAATATAAGAAAATTCTATAAAAACTTTAAAAAATCTATAAAATTTCAAAAAATAAAAAAATAAAGAATTTTTTTTTATAAAATTAATTTTAAAATTAAAATAAAATTTGATCTTCTTTAAAATAAAATTTTGGAAAATTTTTGATTTTCTTAAAGAAAAATAAAATTTTATTTTAATTTTAATTTCAAAATTAACTTTATAAAAAAATCTTTATTTTTATTTTTTTGAAATTTTAAAAATTTTCTTTAAAACTAATTTTGAAATTAAAATTAAAATAAAATTGTAATTTTCTTTAAGAAAATAAAAAATCTTCCAAAATTTTATTTAAAATAAAAAGAAAATTTTATTTTAATTTGAAAATTAATTTTATAAAAAAATTCTTTATTTTTTTATTTTTTTTAAATTTTATAGATTTTTTAAAGTTTTTATAGAATTTTTTTTTATATTCAGTGAGTACCAAATATAAGTAAATGTGTTAATAGATACATTGAATGAAAAATAAAATTTTATAAGTTCCCGTCTGATTTTTTAAAGATAAGTAAAATTTTATTTTAATTTTAATTTTAAAATTAGTTTTATACAAAATTCTTTATTTTTCATTTTTTTGAAATTTTAAAGATTTTTTAAAAGTTTTATAGGATTTTTTTTTATATTTAATAATTACCAAATATAAGTAAATGTATTAGTATATACATTGATGAATGTCACATTAGCTCAGTGGTAGATTACCTTGCCATCTGTCCAATCAACTTGGTTTCGAATCCAGGGGTCTACCTCTTTTTATTTTCAAATCGTTTAAAACGACGTCGTTTTGTTTCAACCTAACATCAACAACTAACGACAATAATTTTTTTTGTAAAATTTGCTGACGGCGTGTCAAATTGGCAAGTTAACGAAAACATTATTAATTAATTCTAAAATCAATGAAAAATTTATGTTTTTTCTGGCAAAATTAGTGTTTTTTTTTTGCCGAATTCTCATTTTCTTTTTAAGACCTTTAGTTCTCGCCTGCTATATTCTACTATGAAGTCTATTCAATTAAAAACAGACAAAACATCAGTAAATAGCAAAACAAATTACATGGACTCGCCAAAAGTTTAAAATCATATATTGGATCGGTAAAATCAGGGAAAAGTCCCATCACCATTTTCCAAAGGTGCAAGGTTGCCGATATGTAGGTAATCAATTCCATTAGGAATGTTTTTCCACATAAGCACAAAAAAATGATTTGTACTTTTACTTATCCCCTGTCTTGTTTTCAGATTCTTTGTTTCCACGGCTGTGTTGCATTCAGATGATTCAATTTACAAAATATATTAATATCATTGGAATCAACTATACAAAGTTAAAATTTGGAGAGGCTGATCAACGTCAGGCATTGTCTCAATAAAAAAAACTCACCAAGATAAAAGAACCAAGTGTTACGTCCAATACTTCAAAATGCTGCTCTTGCTGTTGATTTTTTTACTCTCCAAGACACTTTTTGAGTTTCATATTTCACCTTAAGACACATTGCACTTGAGGCAACCTTTATTGCTAGATAAAGACATCAAAGCCCTTATACTAAAAGAAACCAATCTAGGAAACCAAACCAGGAATCTTTTATCTAAACCAAATTATACCAACACCATCCTATACCAATTTGAAACCCCAATATCTTCTTTTTTTCAATTCGTCTCTCTCTCTCTCTCATTTGCGGCGGAGAACTCTAGACTAACTCTCTCTAGTTTCATCTCCTGAAATGCATCCGTCGAATAGATCTCACCCTATCTTTTCTGATTTCACGTCTTGAAACCATGGATTTGATTCTTCACCCACTCTTTACATACTTACCTCCACAACACTGCGCCTCTTGCTTTCGAATCAATCCGTCTCTGTCACCTCTGTAAACCCGCCGTTCTCACGAATCAACACCACCGTTCCAAGTCTTTCCAGTAAAAGTCATGCAAGGTTTGTTTCTTCTTAATCTACACCTTATATTTTCGAATCCATTACTATATGTTTCTATAACATGTTTCATATTCGAGTTCTTCCCAATCTAACACTATCAATTTCTTGATTTCAACCTTGAGAACACCGTTGTTTGTTTCAATTCACGGATTTGGTTTACTTTTTTCATACCCAGAAACTCGATTTCAGCATTTTTTTATTCGAAAAAGTTAATTTATAATTTGTTTCCTCCATTTTTCAGGTAATACCACCGCCTCCCACCAAGGTTATTCACTACCGATTGGTTCCCTAGTGGACGGCTCAACATACGTCCACACTTCTCCCATCCACGCTTCTCCCGTACACAACACCATCGACCACGTTTTTACTATCCACAACTCGCCGGCTCAACATACGTCCACACTTCTCCCGTACACAACACCATCGACCACGTTTTTACTATCCACAACTCGCCAATACACAACTCCTCTATCTACAACACACTCATCCACAAAGTAACCCTTCGACGACAGGTTCCATATATCTACTTACTACAATGGAGCTTAGGCTTTTCACTTTCCACTTTTAAGCTGACTTTTGTTTTTTTGCGGTTAATACCCACGACTAATGTAATATGTTAAACCTATCTCAATGTAATTTCTTTAGGATTTTTAATATGTTAATGATGCACTAGCCAGATTCTATCTTTTTTTCCTGAACATTTTGTGGATGAATTAGATTTGAGAAAAGCTTGTGGACGGAATATGTGATGTGGACGATATATACGTTAGAAGATTTTTTGTATGGAGTACAAGGATACTTGTGGACGGATTTCAGGATACATACTTAGACCGACCACAATTTAAAAATGAGAATTCGTATGTGATCGTTCCCCGCCCAACACAATTAATTCACGTTTTTATCAAATTGACCTATTGATCAAGTTTTAGTTTCGACCTTTGGATGGAAAGCACCAGATCAAGATCCAATGGTCAAGAATAAAGCACTTGAATCAATAAATCTTACAAATTAAAGCTTCCTAGAAAGAAAAAAAAACCAAACCAGAAAATTGTACCGGTTCCTAACCAGAGACATCATTGGTTTGGCAAGCATGGGGGCACAAATGTCTAATCAAACACTACATTCCAAGCACAATGTGTCTTGCAAGCACAATGTGTCTTTATGTGTAAACAAAAGATAAAATGTGTCTCTTTAGGTAATCAACTCCTTGCTGTTCACTTTTTGCAGTGCTTTATCCATTTAACCACCCTTAATAATCCTTGTAACCTTTTCTTCTTTTTTCTATATAGATATCAAAGTAGAATATGAAACTTATGAGACTAATCATGTTGAAACATAACCTGAGTAGTAACTAACGCATCTATCATGGCAGCCAACTTAGGAAAATAATGGTTTTCCAACTAAGAAGCATGGAAAAAACTTTTCTAACATATAGCTTGAAACAACATAGTTCTTATGGACAATCGCGTGTTTCAAGTTTCGCTCAATTTGTGTAAAAATGGTTTCGTCTATTATTTGGCAATGGAGGGTTATATTATTTGCATGATACATATCAATTTTGCTATTCATATCCATTATCAGGGATCTTGTAAAAATAATAACCATAGAAAGACAAACAATTTATCAGAAACTATACCTGCAGCAGTGCAGCGTATGTGTTAGGATTCTGCTACTTTGGCAAATTAACAACTACGAACCTTATCAGCTGATGAAGAAAATTTCTTTATGATCAAGTAAACCTTTTTCTCCCAAACCAATGTCTTTAGAGTAGGAAAGATTTGTAATAGAAAAGAAAACTTCTTTTTTCTTCGACCTGCACATGAAGCAATATGAGAAACCATGCAAAACGTTTAATTCACTAATATCTACAAATGTCGCTAAAAATTGTTTTGTTTGATAAACATATATCAAGGTTTCAAATGAATACAACTAGAAGCCATGTAACCATAACACAACATTGGTGAGAAACTCCCATTTGTTAATCAAATAAAGAAGTTACGTAATGAACTACCTATTTTTATAAGCACGTTGTGCTACCGCCTTAGAAGGATGTGATCCCGTCACGTAGTTATCCACAGAAAAATCTTTCTTAGGAGCCCTCCTATTAAATGGAGTAAGGCATGTTAGTAGCAAGAGACCTCTATATCTTATCCTCAGCCAAAAGGAAAACAACATGCTCAACGTTGTCACACCCCCAATCAACACTTATAACATTCGTATGCAAACCAATATCCTTGACGTCTGAATCTTTCGAAGGCGGTTTCAAGATGGAAAGGGTGAAAGAATCCTCAGGGTTAGATACGTAAATTTTGGTCCATAAATCCACAGCCTCGTCCGTAGTGTTCTTGATGGTGAAGGAGTCGTAAGAAGTATCTCCAACGGTTACTGACTGAGGCTTCTGGTTCTTGAAAGGGAAAGGAGCAGAGATAACAACTAAGATTTGCTGCAGTTTCCACCCTCAGCTGTAAAGGCTGGCTTCAAGTTTCCATGTTCATCTTCCCCTTTTTTTCCTGAGAAGATATGATGTCTTTGGAATTCTATAGAAGCATAAGGCCACTGATCTCACTGTAGACTGTTATGTAAGACCATTGAAAAAACGGAGTTAGGTACTTAAATGCATGCTGCTAAAAACAAATTTAGCAAAATGTGAATTATGAAGTACCATCCAAATCTTCTGCACCGGTGATACTTTTCCCATTCAGTGAGTTGTGATTCAACCTATCCATAGAGAAAAGAAAAACAATGTGAAGCCCATAATCATCAAACACCAGTTTTAAAAACATTTAAAGAGCTTAGAAGACTACAAAAATGTTATAATGATCACTTGTTTCTTCTTCTTTTCTTCAGTCTAGAAAATGAACGCTCAAAGCCATAATTAGCTGCAGGGAAAATAAATAAGACAAAGTAACATATATACACCATTGAGAGAAGCAAAAAAGATTCACGACGCATAAACTCGTCAACATATCAGACAATGAATCGGATTTTGCCGCTTGTGACTCAGTTGAGTCCTTGAAGAATGACAACTTTTTTCTTCTTGTTCTTATTAGTTGGGTCAGATGGTGCAAGCTTAAGATGAGCAAAAAATTAAAACAGAATCAACAACTTAGAAAATACCAAACTTTCAACTTCAGCGCTAGCTATCATAATATGAAAGGATCTCTTACATGACAACTTACTTCTTAATCATCCTTCACCTTCTTTATCTCATTATTTTTACCAAAAAGATGAAAATTTTCAATCTAATTAGGAAAAATAATTGCCAGCTACCTGAAGTATCGACCACTACATGGTTGACCATGCAAAGTAAAGAAATGCACACTCAACTACATGAAGTATATGATATGCATAATAACATCCATGAACTTTATGTTGTTATGTAGCTAACATCACAAATCTGATTATAATTAATTACATTACAAGGTTAATTACATTAATAATAAATATAAAATATAAAAACGTTTCATGATATGGAAAATCTTTCTATATTTTGTTTTCTGAATATTTTTATTTTAAAAAGTGTTATACAACAATATTAAAAATTAATGTTATTTTAGAAAAAAACTTTTAACTTTATTTTAATTTATATTTTTAATAGTTTGTTAATTTATCATTTATTTTTCTATGTGATTTGTTAGGTGAAATTCTATTTTTACCATATTTGTTGTAGCACAATTCATGTTTTCATTCATTAAGAAGATAATTTTACAAATACATTTTCCACTAAATGAAAAAAGACCTTTCTACAAATTTTATAAACACATATAAATAAAAATAACTATTAAAATATTTAAGTCATTTAAAAAAATACTTTCAAAACATTTTATATCTTTAAAATGTCTTTATAATCATTTTTAATTAAAAAAAATTAAGTATTTTATTACAAAATGATTTTGTAATAAATTATTAAAAACCTTTTAGTTTATTGAAAATGTTTATAAGGATATAAAAATGTTTTGAAAATAATTGTATAAATGACTTAACTATTTAAAATCCAAAACATTATTTTATATACAAAACATTTTATTTAACCTAATACAAAATAATAGGGAAATTTTACTTTTACTTCACTTTTGATACCATCATTCATGTATACATTCCTTAAATGAACATTTTCAAATATACACAATTATGTAGTTTCATTAAAAAAACAAAATATTTTTCTATCCTTACTTTCTAAATATAAATAAATAATTATTTATATATATATATATATATATGAAAATAAATGCTAAACTAGCAAACTATTTAAAATGTATAAATTTAAACTTGTTTATAGAATAATGTACACAAATTTATAAAATAAAAAAATAAAAACTTTCTTGATAATAAAAACATCAAATAAAAAAAAAGATTTTCCATATCTTAAAATGTATTTTATATTTTATATTAATGTAATTAGCCTTGTGATATAATTAATATAATTAATCATGTGATGTTAGCTACATAACAACATAAAGTTCATGGATGTTAGTATGTATATCATATACTTCATGTAGTTGAGTGTGCATTTCTTTACTTTGCATGGTCAGCCATGTAGTGGTCGATACTTCAGGTAGCTGGCAATTATTTTTCCATCTAATTACTCAATAGTACAAAATAGAGAATGATATTGTCGCTGATTTGTAAAGAAAATCTCACCGAAAGAGAGACAATGAAAACAAAGACGTTGGAGGAGAAGTCGAGGCTTTATGGATTAGGTTATTTAGGATTTATGGGTTGAATTGAATTAGGAAAAGGAACGGTGATGGGTGAAATGAAATCTTTAAGAAAGGATTTAAGAACAGAAGTAAATGATCGATAGTGGCTCGTGAATAATTCAGAGGAGAAATTGTGAATTGAAGGGAGTGGAAGCGCTGGAGTCGATCGATCAACACCATTTTCACCGTCAAAGAAGATCAGGGTTGGAGAGGTGTGTTTTAGATGGGCCAGTGATGAATATAATGAGCCTACAGAAATAACCCATTTAAAATCTGGTCGACTAAACCATGTATGAGATGGAAAAACGGACCACTCTGATTGGCTTGAATTTTTAATCCGACGTGGATAAGCCAAATAGTGCTAATATCCACCTTTTACTTATTGTTTGATTACTATATCTTGTCAAAGATAACTTTTAAGGTATTATTTTATTAAAACTGGTTTGCAACATATTACATTACAAAAGAATACGACACAAGTTTATAAAACTCTATCACTTCTCTCTAAAGTCTCTTCTTTCTCTCTAAATCTCTTCCATTTCTTTCTAAATTCATTGAATGTTAAGAAAAACTTTTGTTAAAAATGAAATTTTGGCTCATGTCTTTCTCACAATATTATGTTGTTTTGGTAGGTACTATCCTTCATGGTTTACATCTTCCCCTCTAAAAATATAAGTTTTAGATCTATATATTTTAAATGTGTATTATTTTATGTTTATATTCAAGTAAAGTTATAGATTCAAACTCTCTGCAATTATTTTGCTACTATTTTATCTTATAAATTTTATTTGTTCATTTTTTTTTTCAAATTTAAAATTATTTTCACATTTCTGTACATACATAATTTTTCAGATTTAAAAATTAGCTGATATAATATACTACTTCTAATGAAGCCTTCTTATAAGTTAAAGTTAGTAGACTTCAAATGAAGTTTACTAAACCACAACTTCTAAGCACACTTCATTGGCAGTCTGTATTTTGTGTTTGTACTGAACTAAAATTTTAGATTCAAACTCTATGTGTTTGCTTTGCTATAATTTTAGGTTAAAAACTATTTTGATATTTTCTAATACAAATTATTTTAAATACATTTTAGAGCTTAAAATTTTCCTTTACTGTTGACATTTAATTAAGGTTACTCAAAATTTAAGGTTAGTAAACTTCAACTAAAGTTTACTAAACCATAAACTTTAATTAATTTCGTAAGAATTTTACTAAAATTTGATTTAAAAATTATATCTTATGATTTATCATAATTTTCTCTTATTTTGGAGGTACTCTTTTTAAGACTTCATTTGAGGCATCAAAATTATGAATTGTCAAGAACACTCTAAAATTTTTAAATAATTTATGTAAGAATTTATCATTATAAAATATTCATTAGAAAAAATTATTTGATGCATAATCTTTAAAAACTGTATTCATTTTTAGTTGTTTTTTCACTTGTATGTTTATAGGAAATTTTTGAGTTTTGTTAGGTAATATTGTAACAACGAATTTACAACCACATGTTTTTTTACGGCCATTTTACGACCCTATTCCTTACCAAACACACACAATAAACACGTTTTCACCAACCTTCTATAATAATCAATTGTCGTTTCACGGTTGTAAAATATTTGGATGTAATAAAGTCATAAATTAACGACTACTTTACGACTTTTAGTGAGCGTCATCCTTAAGACGCATACAATGAATTTAAAGCTTGTTAATTAACTACGAGTTTAATCGAAATAAAATTTTGACGTAACATAGTCGTAAAGTGACTTAGATTTTATGACCACAATAATCTCAAACAATAACTAACACACATGTGAGAAGAAAAAAAATCTATACAAAATTTCCAAGAAGTTTCAAGAGTAAACTAATCACTAAAATTTTGCAATATGTCTTAAGTGTATACTTCAAACAATAAAAATGAAGAAACATGCTTCTAATTAAGTCTAGATTTATTTGGTAACATTCAAATCAAACAAGAAATTTCCTATTCCATAATTATAACACATTAACTTTTGAAATTCATCCAAGACCTTTAAGATTTATTAATATACACTATAAAACAATGAAATTGTGCAAAAATATGATGCATTTGAGTAATACACAAAATTCACTTTTAACAGAATTTATGACGTAGACTTCATCTGCGGTCAACATTTGTAGACTTACAAAAACGTATACATTTATTATCTAATAACATAGTTTTTTTTTTTTATAACACTGATAATAGTTCGAGCCGACATGGTTTCATAACATACAAAGAAAGAATATGAAAAGATAGGTGTCAATAGACACCAAGAGAGAAAAGAAAGGGAAATCTCACCAAAGCCTTCTACACTTGAGCCTCCAAAGCAAGTAGATGATGAAGCCAAACTGGACCTCCTTGAGCGATATAAGATTGGTGGCGCAAATCACGAGTGACACTCACCGCAATTGACGTTGCTGACTCATTGCGGACGGAACGGACATGGTCTACACTCCAACAATCTATCTGTGCGAGTAGAAATCTGATATTGTGGCATATATGGCTGAAGATATTGTTGTTATCTGGATTTGTGATAACTCCATGAAGGCTTTCAGACGCTGTTTCGAAGATTATATTTGAGAAACGAAGATTATGCATACATTCCACCGCCCAAAAAAGAGCCCATAACTCTGCTTCAACTACTGTACGCATGCACGAGTAAGATCGACGACTATGCATGATTGTAGACCCATGTTCATCACGTAGAATCCATGAAGCACCAGAAAGATGGCTCGAATGTAACCATGAGGATCCAACATTACATTTAAGAAATCCATGTGGTGGTTTTTTCCATCCTCTCTGATCCGTCTCATCAGCCTCACTACTACCTTCATTCTTACAAGAAAAAGTATCTAATAACATAGTTAAACCAAAAATTTGATAGTTTTATAGTTATCCTAGATTATATTTTTAAAATCATTTAATACCACTAGGATTAACTAACACATACTGTCAAACAATAAAATTTTGAAAAATTTTAATGAGTAATACACAAATTCACATT